ACTCAGAGAATAAATCCTTATTTATGAAAGTGAATGAGTAGGATGAAGTTGGAGAAGTCAACTCCTCAGTGTGGTCTAGTAACAAGACATTGGCCAAGTGAGTAAAGCCCTCATTCCCCATGGTAAAAACAAGGACCACAGAGGTAACTTATTCATACCAGATATCCCTTTTGACTCAACTTTCAATTTCATTCTTATGAAGTAATTTTCTCTGTCCCCATGGCCTATTGTCAGGTTCTCAGTAAATCCACTCTCAGTCCACAACTCTTTTAAGAAAGGTTTTATTGGAAAGAGAATTGGATAGTAGCAATTATGAATTCCTTGCTAAGACTAAGGCATAAAGTGAAAGTAACTCAAGGAACATTTATACAGGTCTGCCCTTTGTAAATTGATAGTGCAACCAGAAGTCTAGGGAGGTAGCAGGTCAGGCCAGGATAGAGTTGACTCTCTCTCCCCCCTCCCAAGCAAGGAAGGTGGTGTGCAAAGCAACACCACCAACCTTTCAGGCTGCACATGCATGCATCAATTGACTGAAACTGACCTCCCCTCCCCCCCGCCGTTGGTCTCTTGGGGTTTCTGTGTGGCACTGTGGCATGCTTGCACTGCCACAGTGCCACTTGTTCTGGTGTGTGCCACTTGTTCTCATGGCAAACAAGCACCTCCCAAGACAGTTCACTTTCCCTGAGATTCTCTGGGAGAGTCTGACTGCTGGGTGCTGCCTGCTTGCCTGCCTTAAGTGCTGCTGGCTGGGTTTCCCCTTTGGAAACAATAGAGGTAATGGGGGGTGACCCGTTTGGGTGCCCACAGAATTGGGCCCACTGGTCCAATTGCTTTGGGACATGGGGGTTTATGTGGGGAGAGGCTCCCAAAGCTACCCTGAACATTTGGAGCCTCTCCCTCAAACTCCCTCCCTCCTACAGCCACTAACAGCACCGTGGGGAAAAAGTAATTTTTGTTCCCACCATAGAGAACAATGGAGGGGATGGGGGCAACCTGTTTTGGGGCCCGTAGAATTGGACCCCCTGGTCCAATGTTCTTGAATCTTGGTGGGTATCTTGGGGAGAGGCTTCAGCAGCTACCCTCTGAGTTTGCAGCCACTCCCTCAAACCCCCTCCAGCCCCCAGAATATACCCTATGTTTTCACCATTGACTTCAATGGCCCATAGGATATAATGGGGCCGAATTGCCGCCGAAGTTCGGCGGCAATTCAGCGGCAAGCTGATTCAGATTAGAGAATCTGAATAGGCCTGCAGCAGCCTGAAAGGGGCCTGAATGGGCCATTTTCGGGGGTGCATTCGGTTCAGACGAACCAAATGCACACCCCTAATAGGCACTTTATAATAAAAAAGGAGGAAATGTAGGTGCTAAAAGGGAAAAAAAAAGGGAAAGAGAAAGGATGCCTTCAGGAGTTTTCTTGATCCTAAAAAGTATGATTCTGTTCTCACAGTCTTAGTGTTTTCCTTCCCCCGCCCTGTAATGATTTTCTTTTGGAAGCAGTAGGAAATGAAATATGATTTAAGTACTGAGTATACTCCTATAGATGATTTTCTTATGAAAAACAAGCAAATAAAACTATCCAAAAGCGATGATGTATTACTTTATGTCCTGAATACCACAGGGTTCCAATAGCTTATTTTTCTCTGGCACTCATTAGCCATGGACTTTTCAAGCTGGTGAGGTAATTCCCTTTACATTATAAACTATAGGATATCCTCCTCTCTGTTTCATGTTTTGACATTACAAAAGGTCACAAAGTATTCTAGACAATTCTGGCCACTGCTTCAAATGAAGATAAGAAAAAAGAAACTCTTGCACTAGTTTTCAACTCCAGCATCTGAAACCTGTACAAATACCTGTGCATTGCCAAAAGAAAAAGTGCTGCATAAACTTGGCTAAAAACAACAACATACCACAATGAGTCAAAATCGAATACTATCATGCAAAAATGGACATTACATAAATCACATTTTTATTTAGAAATGTGTTAACATCTGTAAACAACCAATTTGTTGTATTGTAGTAGTCTGCAGAAAATTAACTGATTTCTAATTCTTATTTTTTTATTTTCATGTTAAAACCTTGTAACTGAAAACCCATCACTTTAAAATGTGCTATTTAACCTGTTTTTACAAGAAAATAGAGGGAAATGCAAATAAATGCTTACATGGATCACATAAGGAACAGAGAAACATTTTCAAATGCCTTCTGTAATAGTTAAGATTCCTTTCTTAAAAAAAAAATAAAATCTGATATGTTGGGCTGTATTGCTGTGGCATGCTAATTTATGCCTGTTGGGAAATTTTACATTTATATTCACGCCAATACTCAGAGCACCCATATGGGTTAAGCATTAAAAATTTACAGCAGATTAGTGAATGTGATACCTCACCTGAGCTACTGAAGTGTTATAAGAAATTAAAAACCATCATAAATGGAAGCAAGTTCTGCCATATTTCATGGGGCTTGCAAATAAATGTTCTTAGGATCACATGCTTACTAAAGCACAGACTTTTATTCTTATACACTTATACTCTTATTCGAAGTGTTATTTTGTTTAAAGTCTAAGCTACTAGTCTCACTTTACCCTGGTAGCATGGGGGACACCGCAGTATGATCCCTTCTATGCTGCCAGGAGAATGCTTGGATGAGAAGCCACAGTGCTTCCCCCTCACATAGCCCAAGGACATAGGAAATAGCTGGGCAGCAGCAGCTTCCATGCTGCCAACAGGACACAAAGGGAATGGCTCTAAAAATTGCAAGAATGATCTTGGGACTGATAGTTGAAAGCAATTAATCTTTTCACCTGAAGCACTTATACTACATTAAAAGATGGACACTGACCAATGTCTTCAAATGTGCAAAAAACCAAAGCAGAGGCAAAATTACCCAGATAGATGAATGAAAGCAGGCATCACAATTCACCCAAGAAAAATCCATACAAGCAGCAATAAAAGGTATCGACTAGCTATTATCTGGAAAATGGAACTGGCTATCCTGGGGATATGTTCAATCATGCTGTTGATTATGGCTCCATATTAATCATTTAATTTTTATAATTTTAATACTTTACCACAATAATGCCAGAGATGTAACACTACAGTTATTCTTAAAAAATTATTTCTATATTTAACTACAAGATCTCCTTAAACTACTCTATATTATAAAAGCATCTGCACTGAATAAAAATACACATTTACTTTCTAAATACAATCATAACCTGGAAAGTGTTGATCAGCCACTGTTTATTAATTATGCTGTATGACTGGGAGATGACACTTTTTAGTATGGAAAATGAGATATCTTCAAGATGCTGTCAAAACATAGGCCATTTAGCTTCTCTCTCCTCACACTTAATTAACAAGACATATGAAAGCTCAAAAGTTGTTTTCTTCCTCTATGTGAAAAATTTAAAAATGAAATCCTTAATTGCCCTACATCTGTCAGCAATAAAAACTTGGTACGTTTCGTGATTGTTTGTGTTATAATGTAAAATTATAGTTCTGGCAAAGAACAGATTTCTTAAAAAGAAAAACACATGGGACTCTTAACTCTATCTCCATCTTATGGTTAGAAAAGGAACATTCATTCTGGGGGGGGAAATCTGCAGATACTGTACATGAAGTCTTTCAAAACTGGACATACAGAGATATGCAAAACTAATCTATTGTTTCAGGAGAGGAGCTCTGTTGGTCTGCAGTAGAAGAACTAGGTTCAAGTCCAGTGAGCACCTTAAGAGACAAACAAGATTTTCAGGAGATGAGCTTTCGAGAGTCAAAGCTCCCTTTGTTAGATAGGTATCTGACAAAGGAAACTTTGACTCTCAAAAGCTTATACCTCCAAGGTGCTACTTGAACAAAACTGATTTACATTACATTTTACAAAGGCTCCGATACACAAGAAAGTATGCTTTTTATATGTTATTAAAATAATTAGAATGTAACAAGTAGGTGGTCATTAAAATAAAAGGGGGAACCATGTCCTTTATCATATCAAAGTAGTATGTGGATCAGTGCAGAAGTTTACAAACGGAACCAACTTACATAAGCAAACCACAGAAAGTTGTGTGCCTTTCATTGATCAAGAGTGAGAACAGATACTTCATGCTTGTAATTTTTCTATTATTCGGAAGTATTTGTACTTTGCCTTGGCTTAGGACAGTATTCCAAGTAAGAATAAGCAGACTGGGAGAAGTCTTGTGGCTGGCACTGTTGGCTGGTGCTAGCTGTGGACAGCAAAGGCATGGCTCCCAGTTCTATGGTCTCTATCTTTCCTGCTTAACAGAAGAAAAAAGGATAACAGCCTTGCCTCTTCTTTCAAAAAACGGAATGGGAGAGAAATACTGCAAGGTTTTCCATTCCTTTAGCCATATACAGTGCCAGGAATTGTTTTGGTGAAGGAAGAGATGGAATGTACCAGTGTCTGTTCTTTCTTAAGAACTGCTGCTGCAACTGGTCTTTGCAGTTCATTCTCCCCCTCAAATTTAAATACCTCTTTTTTCTTTTAATATACAACAAACAGAGAAATTAGTAAGTCAAAAAGGAGACAGGAACAGCTTTATTATTAAACGTCATATTACAAGATTTCTGAAACTTCTAGTATTCCTTTTACAGCACATACATGTTTCCCGTTGTAAATTCCCTAAATTAAGCAATTGTTAACAGTTATTACTCCAAGATGTTATTTAAAATATCAAAAGTTTATAAACAATTGAAACATGAAAATTTACAGCACTCCCCACTGATAAATATTCTCTGGAAGATAAAAAGAGCTTTTGTAAAATGCATAACTTCCGTTTAAATGTTTATAGTAGCCCTCACACAAGGAATCTTACAAAGTTTTTATGACTAAAATCCATATTTTTATCACTTGTTATTGCTAATACATAATTTGAGATAACAAAAAAATAAGCAAGTTACTGCTAAAGAACAATGAGTTTAATTCCTGAAAAAGTATCTAGTGAGTGACCACAAAAGCAAAGTCAGACATTTCTCATGCGTGGCGGTTAAAAACTCTTATGATCTGTATAGATTCTTAATACAAAGATATCATCTGAAAAGTTAGTCACTACATACATATCAACCAAGGAATGAAGGAGTACAGTTTGACACTAGCCTCGGCTCTTCTTTAAAATTATCTGCAAAAAAGAAAGCATAATCTTCAGGCACATAATTTTTTTACTTCAACTGCTAAGACTCAAGACAGAATACAAATTTTTAAAAATGTAATAAAACTATGACAATGCAATAAAACTAGAGTACAAATACTGGAAAACAATGCAATAAGGGTAATACATACAAAAAAACAAAGTACTTATGAAGTTGCCTCCATGAATATTAAAGCTACAACCCTATTCCCCTTTATAAAAATATCCTACTGAACAGCACCATTTTACGCATTCTTCAATAAAGGTGTGGGAGACTTCCTAACTGCAATAGGCAGGCCATTCCTCCAAGCAGGAGGAACAATGGAACATGGTCTTCCATGCAGAAGTAGACCTATATTTAACAGAAGCTGCTTAAAGCCAATGGCCACTTCAAAAGATATGAAATGAACTCTTTTCCTACACACCTCAAAGTCAACATTACTAATGAAGTAGTGATTTTGAATTTTTAAAAAATTTAAATATGTGACATCAACAAGCTTTTGCCTTCCCTTCTCTCTAGATAACCGCTCCCTTTATAATTGAAAGAAGTGAACATAAAACTTTTCTTAGGACCAGGATCCAAAGAACCATGCAACTAATTCTGCATAATCAACCAACCTTTGGGCTTATATTTCTTTTCTTTTTTGTAAATTTATTTTTTATTCATTTTCCAAAAAGATACAAATTGTGATGTAACAGAAAGTAACACTGTGAAGATAACATAACAATAAGTAACATAACTAAAATTAGACCCCAGCCCCTTTAGCAGGTACTAGTGGAAAGAATACAGAGTTTACAATAAGCTAGATAAGTTTGTTGATGATTATGTTAAAGTAGTGAGATGAAAATGGGCTGTGCTGGCTTTGGAGTGCTATAGTAGTGTGGACTGGACATTGAGTTTTCATGAATATTGCTTTCTTGAACAGCAGCATTCTCCCTCCACCCATCCCAAGCAATTTTTGAAACTGAGGGGACTTTTAGAAACAGTTTGTGATATTGCATATGGGTCTACCAAAGAGTCTCATTGAATATATCCTAGCCACAGGACATACTCATTCTTTGCATTATGTCCAAAGGACAGTGTGACTGTGCAGATGGGCTGAAGCGTTCATTCAGTTGAGAACAGGAGGCTATGGAATTGTTCCCCTGGTCTCTCACAGCCAGGCTCAGAATTGAAACATGACATTACAGGTACTAGGTAATGTGTGTAGAGGGGAACTGAAACTGAGAGTGCTGGTATCACCTCCCACCCATGACGGAATGTACTGGCTCCACCCGTTATGGATCTGCCCCACGGTATGTATATGCATACATGATATATGTCAACATGCATCTGCCCCACGGTAAATTCTGTGACTACATGCATATATGCATACATGATATATGTCAACATGCGTAGAGCGGGGAAGAAACAGGGTCATCATTCATAGAATGGGGAAGAAATATGCTGGCTTGGCTTTGGTTCATGACTGTACTAGACCCTCCAATCACCTAACACAGTGCACCACTTTATGTGTATATGAACTGTACACATGCAGGCTCCATTCCACTGAGGGTATGCTGATCCTGTATCCATGAGTGGGTGTTTGTGAAGATCTGCAGAACTGTTTCTTATAAAAGTTAAAGAAGTTTCCAGGCCTATGAAAGTAAAATGCAAATGTGGAACAGGAGCTTACCTATAATATGATACCTATTTAATGTCCTTTGCAGTGAACTGGTTTTATACTAATGTTTTGTAATGTTATCCTAGTGTAATAATTTGTTTGGTTAAATAATAAAATCTGAGGGTTTGAGTTGTGTGAGTGGCTACACATTAACACATTTATGGCAACGTCATAAAAAGAATGGCAACGCTTAGTTTTTCTACAATTAAATGACCTGGCAGCACAATTAATGTTTTATTTGTAAAGTAAAATGTAGTAAACTTAATGGTACAAGACTCATTATATGCCCTTGACATTTAATAGAAATATGTACACAGTTCAGTGTTACATATTTAAGTGTTAAGATACACTGGGGAATTTCAGCTTTCAACTGTTATTACCTTTGCTGAAGTCAGAACATGTTCATATTTAATTGTTTCGCTCTTGTCTGCAATAGCCTTGGTCCGGGTTTCTTCAGCTAATCGTTCCAGAAACAATAAGAAGTTCAAATGTACCTTTAAAGAACCAGAAATTGTAACATTATTACAAGGGTAAAGAATGCTCCCAACAAATTGCTTAAAAGCTGCTGCATATGATTTTTTTTAAAAAAAACCTCTGAACTAATGATCATAAATTCTTGTACAAATGCTCAATTTGTACATACTTTTAAATACACCATATATTCCAAGTCAACTATGGCTCATCTATGGACACTTAAATCCACACATCAGGGTTACATCGACAGAAGAAGGACACCCCCCCCCCCAATTTGCAGAAAAAATGTGAAACCTTTACAAAAGGAGGGAGGGTCCAAAAAAACTTCAAAATAGAGTACATTTGTCTGCTCTTGTGCTGAATGGCCATTGGCACTGCCTGCCTCATCACTGCTGACTCTCATTAGCAGCATCTCTGTGAGCTGGAAAGCTGGTGGCAGAACTACAGGGGGGGAGAGGAGAAATGAGACTTGTGGATGGTGTTGCTGCCACCACTGCCAGTTTCACATCACTGTCTCTTCAGCAGCAGTGCTGCGGATTACCATGTTAAGGCTGGAACGCTAAGGACACTTGCCTGAGAGAAAGCCCCATTGAATAACATGAGCCTGAAAAACACCATTGATCTTGAAAAGCACCTTGAAAGTAATGTAGTGTTTAGCAGAAACTAGCATGCATTAATCAAGAGCAAATCCAGGCAGATTAATACTATTTTTTTCTTCATCACTTGCCTAGTGGATCAGGGAATGCTGTAAATCTACTGGCCTCCCTTGCTGAAGTCTCCATCTTTGTACAGCCCGTCAGGTGAAGACCTACAGTCTGGTTTACAGCCTAGCAGTTCCAGTTTTTGAGACTATTGTAATGAATTGCAGTGCTATCTGTTCTTAGCTTATAGTTTTTGTTTTTATCTGTTTTAACTATTTATTGTGAAATTTTTAAAACGCCAATTGTGGATTTGTTGGTGTGATCCGCTCTAAGCCTACTCACAGGGAGGGTGGAATACAAGCTGAAATTAATAATAAATAATAATATACGTATTTTGCCAAATGCCTTGTTGACATCTAGGTTAGTAAACTGTTTAAATGTTGGCTAGATCCACCATCAGTTGGATTAAAGCTGGTTGGAGAACCACATTCAAAAAATGCTTATCAATAGTATTTCATCAATCTAGCGGTAGATATTGACTGGGGTATCACAGGGCTCTGTCTTGGGCCTGGTACTCATCCACATTTTTACCAACTTGAATGAAAGGTTAAAGGAAACGCTTACCAAATTTGCAGAGGATACAGAATTGAGAAGGATAGTTAACATGCAATGCAGCTGCAGAAACAGAATAATGTAATTTCAGGTTGTATGAACAGAGTTATAGTGTCCAAGTAATGAGGGGGGGGGGAGAAGTTCCACAGTACTCTGTGCTAATCAGATCTCATCTGGAGCACTGTCAAATTCTGGGTGCTACACTGTAAGATATGTTCACAGAAAGGCAAAAAAGATGGTTGTGGGTATAGAAAATAAATCCTGTACCAAGCAGGGGAAGTGGTAAACTAGATGGCCCCTTGCAACTCTGCACTTCTGCTACATAACATATTCCTAGTATCCATACTCATCATGAACAACACTGCTGTGTTCTTGTTAGATTAATATTCTAAGTAACTTGAAGTAAATGGGTATATTTAGCCTGTGTATGTTTAACCTGGAGAATACTGAATGAATCCATGGAAAAATGTGGCCGTCACTTGGAAAAGGGCAAAAAATGGTTTTCTATTACTCCAGAGGACAGGACTAGGTCAAAGGGGTTGTAGCAGGTCAGCAGATTTCAGCAAAAAGTTAGGAGAAACATCTTAACGGTAAGAGCTGTTCAAGAAAGGAACCAATTATGGAGGTAATTGCTGAAGGTCTTCAAGTAGAAGCTGAACAGCCATGCTCTAGCATTTATTTTCTGTACTGAGCTGGGGAGGGGGTAGACTAGATGGCCTAAAAGACCCCTTGCAACTTTGTGCTTCTCTTATGTAACATACTTCTAGTATCCATATTCATCAGGAACAAGGCTGCCACATTCGTTAGATTAATATTTAGTACTCAAAGGACAGCAGTACCACATGATATGCAGTGTAGTCTACTCCTCTATGTCACCAATATACTAATGATATGCAGCTGTACCTCATTTTCATTTAAGTGAGGTAAGGACAACCCAGGTGCTTACTCAGTATCTGTCAACCTTAGGGATTCCTTACAGGCAAAGAAGGCAAGGCTGAATCAAGATAGGACTGACGTTCCTGGGTTCTTCAGAGGCTGCAATATACCATGTGGGGAGTTCAAGTAAATAGTACTCATACAGTCCTGACTAGAACAGATGTACTGCCCTGATAGTGATTTGCTGCTAAATTTGTGGCTATGTCTTGGATTCTCAGCTTGCACTAGTGCCTTTCATAGACTTAGCCTGGCCAAATAATTTTGTCTCTTGTTACTGACAGTCACAAAGTCTATATTTGTTCACTACATTATTACAAAACTGGGCCACTGGAAGCTTTGGAATATTTAGGTTACATATAATGTATCCTTCTAGCTCTTTGCAATTCTCTCCTCATGAAAGTAAGAGACAAATAAAATGTTCCTTTTTAGGAAGTTGTTTGGGTTACTGGAGTAGCCTATTTTAAAGCCAAGTAGAGACTAGTATGCCACATAGAATAAATATTATTTTTCTAACATATTTTATATTAATGAACAACATATCTTTCATAATGATGCCAACATATATATTCTTGAGGGTTTCCGTCAAAGTACCAATTCTCTTTTTATTCCCGTTACGCTGTGTGCATGAGTTGTTAACATTTGAAACATGGCAATGGCAGTAAAATAATGTTCATTATAAAAAACTGGATTACTGAATATGGAGGTTGAATTTTAAAAAAAGAAGTGTAGATATTTTTCCCTTTGAAACGCATAAAGAACAATTTGCATGTAATGCCATTTACAAGTATTGTAAATTCTTTCCATTTATTTCCCCCCGATTTATTTCTTCTATTCTATTCTTTCTATTTATTTTTTCCCCTTTATCAAACTCTGAAACAGAAACTTTTATTTATCCATAGTCTGTGCTTTAAATAGCCTTTGGGATTAATCACACATTCTTTCTGGGAAATATATTCCCAATGCTACACAGTGCTGAAAGTGAAGGACTGTGCAACATTTCTTTTCATCAAGCACACCAGTACTCCAGAGGAGGGCAGTAGACCTAGCAAGCTACACAGGTCAGTTTCCTCTGTATTCTCCTTCTGTCTCTTTGTTGACCCAGATTGCTACTATTAGGGACTTCCTTCCATCTGGCTAACTTCTTCTGATTCATTGGTTAACCTCCAAGAGGGCAAGATGCACTGTCAACATCTCTCACCATCCTCTAGTTCGAAAGAATGTTCATTTAGGCTTTCCCACCACAGTATGGATTTCCTTAATAACAAATACTGAGTGGGTAGCCGTGTTGCTCTGAAGCAGCAGAACAAAGTTTGAATCCAGTAGCACCTTTAAGACCAGCAACATTTTATTCAAGGTATAAGCTTTTATGTGCATGCACACTTCTTCAGATAGAGTGGAACAAGACATCCTCAACCATTACATATAGGAGAACAAGACATCCTTAACCATTACATATAGGTGGGGGGCTAGTTGCCAAGAAGGGCTAGTTAGAGTCAAGATGCATAAGTAACCGGACCTAGATTGGATTAAAGCAGTTGGTAAGATCTGTAAATAGCAGTAAATTAGCATACAAATATAAGAGTTAAGAAACAGATGAGAGGCTTGAGTTTGAGTCCAATGGTAGCTCCAAGACCAACGAAGTTCATGGTTGAGGATATCTTGTTCCACTGTATCTGAAGAAGTGTTCATGCACACAAAAGCTAATACTTTGAATAAAACTTTGTTGGTCTTAAAGGTGCTCCTGGTCTCAAACTTTGTTCTTAATAACAAAGAACATTCATTTCTTTTCTAAAGCAACAAGCCTCTGGGGACTTTATTCCTAAAGCAGCCTTCCCCTTTCCAGCTTCAGCAACACATAGTATAATCTTACCAAAAGGATTGATTGTGAATTAAATATTTGTAGTTGATTCACCCACACTAAAATGGATACAACCAGTACTACTAAATATTTTTATTTATTTAACTTATACCCCACCTTTCGCTCCAATGGGGACCTAAAGAAGCTTATATCATCCCCTCTTCTCCATTTTATCTTCACAAGAATCCTGTGAGGTAGGTTGGACTGATGACTGTCCCAAGATCACCCATCAAGCTTTGAACTGGGGTCTCCCAGATCACAGTGCACCACTCTCACTCCTACACTACTCCAGCTCTCCAAACAGATGCCAAGGCAGGAATAAGAAGTTAAACCCCGGAAGTGACCATGAACAAAACCTGTTTCTCACTTATATTAACAGAGTGGATCCCAAGCATTTCAAAAAAAGTTTTTGGAAATAATATATGGTAAAAACGTTATTTTGCATATAAACAAAATGCTCACTTAACTATGTGCACCCAGAGCACAAGCCTTCAGCCACCATACCCCTGTATCTTCAGGGATGTGCATGCCCCACTCCTGCCTCTTCAGCTGGCCAGTTCAATGCACCTGACCATTACTGAACTTCTGACAGGTGGTACTGCCAGTGGCCATCATCCTCAGGTGCCACCTCCCATTTCAGCTGGCCTTGAGTTCCTGGGAGCCAGTTCTGCCAAAAGGCTCCTAGACAACTAGCCTGCTAATCTGCCTGCTGTGCAGGAAAAGCTCCATGGCTAGGGAGAAGGAAAGGTTACACCCACTGGAATGAGGGTTGTGGATTCCTCTGAGAAGGGGAGCAGGATGGAGCAATAAGCTTGAGTATCTCACTCATCTGATTAACCAGCAATCCCCATTCCCATAAGTGTCAGAACAAAGCTTTCACTGTACTTGTATGAATCAGAGACAATTTTGTCTGTACCAAATAGGAGTAGAAGGAATTCATATGTACCCTCTGCAAAAAAAACCCAACCCCGATTTGCAACTGCCTTAGTCCCTAGACAAACAGCGTATCAAATAGGAAAAAATTAGTTTCCAGAAAGTGATTGA